CACACCGTAAACCCGGCACATCCAACACCAGGCGGACATTAATTCACCACACAACCTTACCCCGGCACAACCTTACCCCACCCGGCCCGGCCCCGGCAAGCCCCGGCACGCCACGCCCGATAATAGCCGCGCCCTGCCCGACGTTACTCGATCACAATCACCGTTAATTATTCCGCCGATGATAACCCCAAGGCGCCGTGCGCGCCGCGAGTGAGACGCGGAGCGAAGGGGAGGCGCGCTGCTCACACAGAGGCGCACTTGAGGCGCGTCGTAAATTTCATCCAACGTGACGATCGACGACCGACCGCGATCTTAGTAAGTGGCGCATAATATGCGGCAATAAAAGGCGAGCAACTTCTTAATCCCGGAAATTTCGCGTGCGGCGCTTGTGCAAAGAAATCAATCAAGCGTCGTCCCCCGTCGCTTAACGATCTTTTGGCCACGTCTCAAGAGCGCCGCGGCAGTGAAATAAATTTACTTTGCTCAAAATGACAATTACACGGGGAACATGTGTTTTCATAACACCTAGAGAGGGGAACCTAAAAAGAGCTCCGCGGGTGGTGATTTTTGTTTATATTGCTCTGCCAGAGAAGCTGCAGGCTCATGTGTGAGGTATTCGCCAGGAGTCGTCGGCCGGCCCTGAGCTGGATCTGTCCGAGGCCGCGTCCGCTCCTATGGGGTGAGCTGACGCGGCCATTGTGTCGCGAGCGACCGGACGGCGGACAGACCGGCGAGACTTTGGCGAGCTCCTGGCACCGGCCGGCGAGTCGCGAGGAGAGAAGCGAAGCGGCGGCCTTCGCCCACCGTCCCGTCGCCTCGCGGACACTCTGAAGGAAAGCGGAAAGCACTTCAACCCCTGCGGCAGCACGCTGTCGCCGTTACGCCCGGAGCTCACCGTGTACTCGGCTCGGCGGCCGATGTTGACTTACACGGCCCACCAGGTCCTCGGGCGGGGCCGGGCCGGGCGGGGCCTCTACCCTCGGGCGGCCCTGACCTATCCAACCCGCGGGGGCATTTTGCAAGCCATGGGTGGCGCCCGGTGTTATTGGCACTCGCGGTGCAGTGCAAAGAAGAGGGCAAAATGTTATTAGCGGCGCGAGCGCTGGCCTTCCCCTCTCCCCTCCCCACCCTGCCCGTCTCAGGCCACTCGAAAAAATAATGAATTAGCTAAAGTAGCTAATAAAATCACTAATTCGGCTTCCTATCAGAATTTATAGCGTACCAAGTTAAATACTAGCTAAATAAACTTAGCGTTCCAGTTGTCTCGAAAAAAAGAAACTAGCTGTACAAGTCCATGTTATCCTCTTTGCTGATCATTAGCTAAGCGAGCTAATATGTATTGTGATCTTAGGCCAAATTAGCGAATGCTTCAGCTATTTTAGCTATAATTCTTTTCTTTCCCGTGCAGTGTTTGTTGTACGTCGTGCTCAGTTGGCTTAATCGCGCCCTCTCGGGTCCGTAGGGTAACCGCGCCCGCAGCAGCGAAGGCAAGGCATGGGACAGAGCGGAGCAGGGCGGCGGAGTGGCGGCGGCCGAGTGTCGCGTGAGCGTTCGCATCGATAATCCTCAACGATGCACGACGACGCCTTCCCCCGAGCGCCGCCACCACCCCCTCGTGAAGCGCACGGCAACGGCCGGCGGCGGTCCACCGCGGGCCTGCACGAGGAGGGGCAGTGAAGGGCGAGGGAGCCATCCAGGACCGCGACGCACTGCATGCCGCTCTTGGGCGCGAGGCTGAGCGCCGGTGAAGGGGCAGTGAAATAAAGAACTGCGGCTGCGCACCTCGCGGGGGCTGAGGGTTGGTGCCGAGCCGGAAGGGTTTTTTTTTTCAGTGCACAGTGCGGAAAATACGTCTCAAGGGGGAGGCGGAGAGAGAGAGAGAGGGGGCACATCGGCACATCAATGTGGAAATCGCTCCTGGCGCTCCTCCCCTCGCTCGCCCCCACCCTATCGCGGCTATGCTGCGCTCCGCTCTGCTCGCCCGCAGTCGGGTTGACTCACCGAGGCCCCACCTCGGGAGGCCTTGGGATGGCCAATATTTACATGAGTTATCTTCAGGGGAGGCCACGCGGCGGCAAGCCGAGCGGAGCACGGCGGAGAGCGCGACAATTCAACCTTTCTCTCCCGTTTTCTTGGGATGCTGTTGCTTGCGATGGGAAAATGTCTCTGTGTGTGTGTGTGTGTGTGCGCGCGCGCGCATGCGCTCGGGCAAGCTTCGTTCGTAATTGATATCATGTCGACGGCCGAGTGATGTTCTCCTCCTATTGCTGCTGCTAGTTAGCGAGACGGCAACAAAGACTACCACAACTACCACTTCTTCTCGAATAAGCGAATGAGCGAATCGAAGACGCTGCTGCTTCTATTGCGACTGCTTATGCGACTTCAACAACCGCGTTCTTCCCATTGTTTCGTCGTGTGAGGAAAGTTTTATTAAACAAACAAAAAATATACACACGATTAAAAGTGAGTGACTATGGCATTATTCCGTCGCTACCTCGAAGTTCTTGCTTGTTGAAATGAGGCGGAATTTCAAAGTTCGTATAACGAACACTGCACGAGGCACGACTCACATTTTAAAGAGTTTACAGCGCCGCCGTCAATCACCAACTTCCCGCCTCTGCGTTGCGACACGGTTGTCCAGCTTGTCAGCAAACTCATTGATTGAACGTCGCGCGCCTTTATTTGTAGAGCCGGCCGGGTTTGTCGCCGCGGCCCGGCCGGCGGCCGTCACTTCACTTTCGCGCGGGCGGCGCCGTGCCGCGGCAGCCATATGATACGTGATAAGCAATCTCGGGTTCGCAACGGGACACCGCGGGAGGCGAGAGCAGCGCGGGGCCCCGCAGCGCGCACCGCGGCGCACAGACCGCCTCCGGAACAGCTCCGCACTGCTCCGCACGGCCCGGCTCCCGGCGGCGACAAAGAGTATAACTGTGCAGAGTGGGTGGCCTTTGAGTAAGGGGATCGTCCAGAAGGTGCGCCTGTCACTCGCCGTCATATGAAACTGACAACTTCGGTTCGGCGTGTGCAAGCTCTCACGCATGGCGCCTGATGTGTGGGCAATATCTCGTCTACAGTGCACGCGTGTACTGCGGGGTGGCCTACCCAGGGTCCCACAGGCGTCCAGAACCCGCAATTCGAAGACGGACGTACTTTCGTGATTCCCTTCGCGGCACAGTAAACCGAACCGACACCAGATAGAATGACTACAAAGATGGGCCGCTGCACGCGCACCCTGCACTGCACTTATCCCCCGCAGAGGGGAAGACTTGAGGTGGCCTTCCTGTCCGAAATTTGACCCGGAGCGTTTCCCGCTCGGCTCCGGGCGGCTGCAGTGGCAGTGAGTGTAGTGTGCCGGGCTGATTGTGGCGTTGATGTGGATAATCAAGTCTCTGGTACGCGGCCCGGCGCGGCCCGTCGCGGCCTCGGGCTCTCGCGTGCGCTGAGCGTGCGCGCTGCGCGGTGCGAACGTTACATTGCGTCGCCACCACCGATTCAATGCCTGAGCAAAGTGAACGCGACTGACCGCGGCGCGAGGCCCGGCCGGTGCGGGCGGACTGGCGGGCAGGCAGGCAGGCAGTCAGGCAGGCAGGCGGGCAGGCGTGCCCGTCATGGGCGTGCTATGGCGCCGCTGTCAGCGCCGTTGGCCTTTCGCCTCCCTTCCTGCCCGGAGCCCACGCACGGCGGCGACATTCAGCGCGACCCGGAGTGGACGTTTGTTTGCTCCAATGAGCGCGGCGCGCGGGTCGCTGATGTGTTCGGTACTCACCCTGGCGAGGACGCCCTGGCGGCCGTAGCTGATGCGCTGCGACGGCGCGTACGAGCTTCGCATTGGCGGCGCCTGGGGCGCCGACTCGTAGGTGAGGCCGCGGGCGCGGTTGACGGTGAAGGGTGGGGCGGGTCCCGGGGGCGGCGGCGGCGGCGGCGGCACGTTGCCGTAGGGGCTGTCGGGGGAGTTGAGCAGCTGCTCGGGCGGCACCAGCTCCGGCGGCGTCAGGCTTCCCGGGCCGGAGGGCGGCGCGGGCGCGGGGGGCGCCGCGTAGCCGCTCGGCGCAAAGCCCGACGCCGGGAAGCCCAGCGACGGCGCGGTGATGGGCAGCGTCGGCGGGTTGGGGTCGGCTGGCGGCGGCGGCGGCAGCGCCAGCTCCGGGCCGGAGGGCGCCGACAGCCCGGTGGCGTAGTAGGAGCTGCTGGCGCCGCCCGTCGTCCTGGAGCTCGAGCTGGTGCCCGTCGGGTGCTGCGTGAAGTACAGCAGCGCGGCGCGGCGCGGCCGTGGGGCTGCGGCCTGGCCGGCCACCGCGAGCAGCGCACAGGCCGCCGCCAGCACCTGGAGACACAGACACACGGGAAGTTCACACGTCAGCACAATCACTTGGTGGCCTCAGGGTGACCTCAGGGTGACCTCAGGGTGACCTCAGGGTGACCCCAAGGTGACCTCAGGATGACCCCAAGGTGACCTCAGGGTGACCGGGTGACCTCACACCTTTCCCCACGATACAATTTCGACCTCAGTGAGTAACGGGCGGGTAATGGCCCTTTGTCCCGGGGTGCGGCTGCGGCAGCCTTGGGGCGTAAAGGGATGCCCTCGGGGCGGGGCGGCAGGCGCGGGCGCGGCGCCACCGGGGGCAGGGGCGGTCGTTAAAAAGTCTCCTGATTGAGATTTACTCGCCGATTTGTATCGAACGCGAGCCGGGCGGCGATCGGCGGCAGGCGATAGGCAGCTGGGGGTGGGGCGGGGAGGGGCGGGGCCGCCGGGGCACTTTGTCGTGCCTGTCCCGCCCGACCGCATCACTCGGGCCGCGCCGCGCCGCCGCGTATTTACATGCATTATGCGGTCGGCGGCGCTCAACAGGCGTGGATACGAGCCGCGCCCGACACCCACCACCGATCACAGCGCGAAACGACAAAAAAAAGAGAGAAATAAATGATTCAGAAATAATTGCAACGTTGTTTGGCATCCGAATCCCGGAACCGTGTCTCGCTCAAGTCAAGTGTTGACAAATGTATAAAGTTGTCGGAAGAGTTCTTTACTTCGGTTCTCTTCGTCTTTTCAAGTCCGGGTAAACACACACGGCTAGCAGCAGCGGCTCCGGAAATAGCGGCGCTCAGCTGGCGGTGACCTCGCGGCGGCCGCCGGGAGCCGGGAGCCGGGAGCACGACGTCGACGACTTACTTTCGCAAAACTGTGCGATTGTGTCGGTTGTTTGCGTCTGCGTGGGGGCGCGCGGCGGCGACTGTCGTGGACTAGTGTAGCGGGCCGGGGCGTGGCGTGGCGGGGCGTGGCGGGGCGTGGCGGGTTGGGCACGTACGTACGCCCACGCGCCGACCCGGCCACGACAGCACCACCGGTGACCTGACCCGCCCCAACGCACACCGGCTGACGCCGGCAGACTCGCGCGGGGCGGGGTCGGGGCGGGGCCGAAGCACGGCCACCTTGACCGCCCTGTCAGCTTGTCGGACAACTCGGCTCGGGGGGGCACGGCACGCCGGGCATAAAGAGGAAAGCATAAACAGGCCCGATGAGCGATGCGAGAGACCTCAACGCGGGAGCGAGTGCAGAGCGCGCCGCGCCCGCGAGCCGGCGAGAGATAAATGGCGGCGACTCCGACTTTATCAACACCGCGACGCGCCTCCCCGCGCCGCTCCGGGCCGCGCCCGACACCTGCACACGCCGGAGCGGCCCCACCTGTCCGCGAGTGGCGCCGCGTAGCAGCACCCTCACCTTATCAACGTGCATTAGCTTCCCTCTCTCTCTCTCTCTCTCGCTGCTTTGTTTCCCTCTCTCCACGGTGTAGAGAGATACGGTGGGGACACTGGGGTACCTGGGGAGGTCCCAGTTTTGGATCCATTATTAGTTACCCAGTACGCCGTCCGCCGCGCTGCTCGACAACGCGTACCGGTGCTTCTCTCTCGCACAGTGACTACCTGTCTCTCTCGCACGCACGGGCAGGCGCCGGCGCTACGCTACGCCACGCCCGGTACACGTTGCCGAGCAGCGCGGCGGACGGCGTACTGGGTAACTAATAATGGATCCAAAACTGGGACCTCCCCAGGTAGGCCCGGAGCGGCCCAGTGTCACCACCGTATCTCTCTACACCGTGCCTCTCTCATATCAACCGCACCCGAGAAAATGGTTCCATTCAACTAATGGTATCATTCCCTTATTCCAACGGAAATTTCCGTTCATATGGCATGATAGAATGTTTTCGTTTCTTTGAGGAAGCTTACTTTGTTTTAAAGAATGATTCTTTACCCTATGGCCATTTTTCCCTTGAAGCATTGGAAAATCATTTGAATCACCAGAAAAAAATTCCAGTATAACATCAGCCATGAAATCAATGGGACCGTTTTCTTGGTGCACGCTCGCGGTTCTATATTTGTTGCATTCGTTTTTTTCTCTCTCTATCAGTATCTCGAGATCCCTCAGCTGGAGCGATTTTTATGAATTCCTCTTCCAAACGTGGACGCGGGTAATTGGTTTTTCCTTTCCAGTCCCAAGGTTTAGAGCCGATAGAGGAGGCATGCCTCCGTCGCCGTGCCCTTGTTCCGCACATACATCTCCGGAGGAGGGAGTGGCGGGGAACAGAGATAAAGAGAGATTTAAACGGGTTACCTTTCTCGTCATCTCGTGGTTTACTACCCACCGCCGGGTCACCGAGGCCCCGCCGCTGCCCCCGCGGCGACCTGGGCCCCACGCGCCCCGCACGCACGCCCAGCCTCGTCAACGCTGCAGTGGTCAGCCTGCTGGGTCGGCCGCCCCGTCACGCGGCCGTGTGTCGCGGGCCTGCCTATTCCCCGCAGCCTAAGGTGTGATAGACCTTCCACTGCTCAGTGCTCACACCTCACCGCAGCCAGCAGATGTCGGGGGACTCCACCCCGGCGGACTCTGTGAGTCGGACGACAAGGTGGACTCCCGAAGCACGTCGTCCGCGTCCGCAGCATCCCCAGGCACACCCAGAAAATCGTTTCCTTGAAACTAGGGAATTTCCTTGAAATTAGCCTCGATTCAACGAAATTGACCTAAAATAAACATAAAGAAATATTTCCTTTCATTCAGGAAAAATTTTCTTTCATTTGAAGAAAAGTCTTTAATTTAAGAAAAAAAAATCGTTTACCAAAGAAATTTCTTTGGAACAAGAGAAAAATTTCCTTGTGTCTTTTCAAAGACTCGATTTTCTGGGTGCAAAGTCACTCGCAATACATCCGAATTTTGCGGCTCGGCAGGGCCAGTGATGGTGGTGGGGCCCCTGACAACGGATGGGTAGGCAGATCCGCAGTACACGGCAGCGTAACGGGGCGGCCTACGCACCAGGCTGGCACACTGCGCCATAATACACCAAAAGGTCCAACGTTTATAGAAAAAACTACATTTACGTGGGATGGTGCAACAGTTATTTTGTCAAGTGCGAGTTGAAAGGCGCATTTCTTGGGGCTGCCTGCCGGTCTCAACAGAGGTATACCGTGGGTATGCGAACCCGCAACACTGTTGTGTCGTAACCCTGACACACGCTGCATGTAAGAGTAAAATTAGACTCACTCTTAACAGAGAAATTAATAAATAAAGAAATGATCTGAAAGCAACACTTTGACAACATCGTCGGGCAACGTACCAAGAAAAGATTCAAGTTGGGGCTCGATTTAGCACTTTCAGTCCACACGAATGTTTTCCCCCCTTTTTCGTTGCCAACTAGGTTAGGCTGCGCAGATACATACCGCACTCCGAACTGGGAACTGGGATCTGGCTTTGGATCAGTGGATCACTCTCCGAGGTGCAACAAAGTTGCTCGGCTCATCACTCTGAAGCGCGGCGCTGACCGCGCCTATGGGAATGACACGACCTCCCGCTGGGGTCGCCTGGTTTCCGCGCGCGAAAGTTGCCCGCTCGAATATGTTGCCCCTATAATTGCGAATGAGTTACACGCCAGGCGCTCGCTCCGCACATTTCTATCGGGGGCGATCAGAGTTGACCCCGTGGCATCCATGGAGGGCCGGGCCGAGGCGAGGGAGAAAGAGGGAGGGGG